AATTTCGCCTATATAACTTTATCAAGATACCGCATGATTTCTTTTTGTTAACTGATGGCTGACGTTATAATCATGGAATAAAAATGCGGAGTTGATAAAAAGTTGAAGATGAATAAACACCCACTCTCAATTAGCAATAAAATACCGTGAAATTCAAAAAAATAAAAAAAACAATGAAATTCCATTAAACCAAGTGAAACCGCAAAAATACCTTGCATGTGGTGTGCAGCTCAACACGTGCCGTTTGTTCAGTGGCGTCTTTAACAATGCCGTAATAACCTTTCAGTGGTCCTTGTGTTATTCGCACACTTTTACCGATTATTTGATTATCACGACGCACTTTTTGTGAGTTTGAACCTCCTCCGGCACCACCAATCGAAACCACCGAGTTACTTCCGCCTTCAAGTTTGAGAAGAAATCTATTTTCACATCAACAAACCCAAACACCAAACAACCCACTCATACGGTCGTAATTCATTTCGAATGAAATGCACAGCCGTAAAGTTCTATCCCAATACGTGCAGCTTGAAGAAGAAACATCAACCCCATAAGTCTACCCAAATAATTCACTTCTTCAAGTAGAGAACAATAATGCTTCCGCAGTTGTACTCTATGCGCTTCGAAAGCACAGTCCAAAAAGAATTTAAAATGTAGAGCTGGTAANAATGCTTCCGCAGTTGTACTCTATGCGCTTCGAAAGCACAGTCCAAAAAGAATTTAAAATGTAGAGCTGGTAAATACACAAAACCAGCAACGAGACTGCAATAAGCGACTGACCATGTTGTGATGGAGTCGCGCCACCGCGCACACTTCTACCACTTGACATATTGCCTGGACCGGGTGTTTGACCGCCCGGATGGCGAGGACTCGCGAACGGATTTGGACTCGCCAATCGATTCAACGCTGCGTACTCATCTGAAAATTCATGCTTGTCGAAAGAACCAGGATGAACGAATCAATTGAAAAATATAAATCAAAAATACGCTCGAAACATACGGAACGGAACGTAAACCCCACCAAAAAAACATAATATCGCACGAATAAAACGTAACTGGCTACTGAATTCGGAAGAGTAAGAAAGACGGCTAACAATTAAAGATGGATAAAGAAACATATGTAAAATTCGTAAACAACGACCGAAAAATGAAGCATAATCATAAAATCAGTTGGAGGAGTAAAATATAACTCACTACGCGCATTCGCTTTGGCACCAATCAGCAGGAGATGACGTGGTTTACAAACAAAAATGCCACCATTTTCTGTGTGTTTCCGTGACATCACGAACGCATACGATCTGAACAAATGCTTGATCTCACCCTGCTTCTCCTCTTCGCCATCGTTTCGAGACTAAAACAATACAATACAATCA